AGGTCTAGCTTCTTATACAGTTCCATATTCTCTTGCTGTATGAGATTTCCCTGAAATAAGTAAAAAGAATGATATAAAATAGGTATAAATTAGGCCCCAAGAACGTGAATTAACATAAATGGACTAGGAGAAACTGAGGCAGTTTTCTTTGGTAACCTTCTGGTTCAGTTCTTTTATTTCATCATTTAATATCTGGTCCTGCAGAAAAATGACCGAGTGTCATGCATGTGCTACATAAAGAAGGGATCTTGACAGTATTAACTGAGACTATATAATCAGGACTAGGGCGTACCTTTTTCATCCGGACACCTTTCAAACTTGTCTCCAGTTGGTTTTCCAGGCTCTGTAGATCTTTGGCACTCAAACCAGAAAGTTCTTCACCCATTAACTGCTTGCAAGTTTATACAGAAACATCCTGCCAATCTTTCATTTGATCTCCAATGAACGGTCGCAAATGTTTCACAGCTGTGAAATAACTTTGCGCTAATGCAGTTGTAATCTGTTGCAGAATTTGAAGAGATATTAATAGTTTAAATAAATTGCTAACCTTTGCTTATTCTTTCATTTTTTGGGGTATAAGAATCAATATAGTATGCTATAGGTATGCATATTGTTAGCAGTTTTAGGACATATCCTAATTTGATTCCTTTTGCTGGTATTTCATTGTTCTGAAGCCGAGGCTGAGTTTGATTCTGTGGCTGGCTTAGCTGCAGATGGATGGGTGTTTGCAAATCATATCCATTAGTGATGGTATATGGAGGTTGGGAACTTTTGTTTTCTTTATTCACACCCCTTGCTCCATAAACCTGAGATTAAAAACTTCTGTTTCAGCCTTTTCCAGAGGAGAAACCTTCACATTTGCTTATATTATAATTAACATAATGGCCTTATGTTTTTGGCTTAGTGATATCTCATTTAGCTTCTCTCTCTTTCCTTCTACCTGTCACCTGTCTCCTCCCTTTAGTGAAGTATAATATGTGTTAAATAGAAGAGTAGAGCTTAAGGGATATATTTTAATAGTATTATACAATCTTTTAGACAATACCTTCTCTAGCAGTTCTGCATTCTCTTTACCTACAAGGTCTAGCTTCTTATACAGTTCCATATTCTCTTGCTGTATGAGATTTCCCTGAAATAAGTAAAAAGAATGATATAAAATAGGTATAAATTAGGCCCCAAGGACTTGAATTAACATAAATGGACTAGGAGAAACTGAGGCAGTTTTCTTTGGTAACCTTCTGGTTCAGTTCTTTTATTTCATCATTTAGTATCTGGTCCTGCAGAAAAATGACTGAGTGTCATGCATGTGCTACATAAAGAAGGGATCTTGACAGTAGTAACTGAGACTATATAATCAGGACTAGGCACCTTTTTCATCCGGACACCTTTCAAACTTGTCTCCAGTTGGTTTTCCAGGCTCTGTAGATCTTTGGCACTCAAACCAGAAAGTTCTTCACCCATTAACTGCCTGCAAGTTTATACGGAAACATCCAGCCAATCTTTCATTTGATCTCCAATGAACGGTCGCAAATGTTAGTTTTTAACTTGGAAAAATAAAATAAAATTGAAAGTTACTTTTGGGAAATGTTGAACTTTTATAATGAATATGGCTTCAGTGCAGAAGGCTTGATAGTAAATAGAAAATCTATATGCTGGGGGTTTTCTGGCTAGCTAAAAATGTGTGAGAAATGATGAATCTATCTGATTGCAGCCTATTTAATGTTTAATACCTTCATTAAAAAAAGGTTGTTGATAGTGCTTTGACTATCTTGCAGATTATAATGGCAAAACCAGCAGGTGGCCCTAGTAAGAGAGATCAGCCTGC